AATTTGAAAAATCATTACAGCAAAAAGAACCATTATCAAGCTAGCATTGTCTTGACTGTGCAGAGACAAAAAGTAGGTGTCTTTCTCAACAGAACAAGCAAGAGATCTGTCACAGTAGTGGGTTCTATGATATTATTTATTGGTTTTTTTTCTCCTTTGATAGCTTAGCTCAAATCCTCGATCAGAGCAACTAGGAATTGTTCTGCTCAGATGGCTTACTGCATTTTAAGTGGAATACAATTTAGTGCTCTCCCATCTGACCAAAGCCAAATTCAGTAAGGGAAAACAATTTCCAAAGACCAACACATCCATTTCCCCCTGGAGAGGCCAGGCAAAGGTTGCGGCATTAGAACAGATTACCAGCATCTGCCTACAGCGTGCCTTTGATAAAAGGGACTATTAGACGGTAATGGCAGCTAGAATGTCCCTCTTTGCAAAATAACATTAGGCAGTTTCCAGATCCCAGTATTTGAGTTGCATTGTGCTTTGTTATTGAGCATTGTGAGAAGCAGTTCAGTAAGACCAGTGTAATAGCAAGAAATAAAAAGAGTAAATCACATCTCTGTGTATACTTCGGAGTGTCTGTAATTTTTTTTTAATGTACAGATTCTTTGCTGTCACATTTCCTTTGGGTTTATCTGTGGTTTTACTAAAGAAAAAAGTCAGTCTCTGTTTCAAAAAGTGGTTAATAATATATGCACCCCATAGTCCACCATAACTGCAAAGAGCCAATTACTGTTAGACTGTTGCATAAATGCGTATTTACGAAGTATGAAAATGTGATTATTTACTGGATCCAGTATCTAATGCATCACATCTAAGCTCTGAAATGGGAATTACTGATATGATGAAATATAACGGCTCCAAACAAACTCTTGTAGTACAAGAGGGGCCCCGCAGAGCTGTACTCATTAAACCCACCTATTAAAAATTCTTACTTATCTTTTTGAAAATTCAAAATCACTCAGTCACTTTAAAAAGACAGTCATCACCAAATATCTTGTCTGTAACTTCTTGGAATATGCTGTGGCTCAACAGAGCTTTGTAATTATTATATCTGAGGACAACCAAAATATTCAGGTTTGTCTTAAAGGAATGATGTGGAACTTACTGCAGGTGGGTGGCAACACATTGCTGAAGACTGGACAGTAGCACACACTAAAAAGAACAACCTGAGTTATTTTTGTACACGAGATGTATTAATTAAGCACAGCCCCTTCAGGAAAGAGGCCTAAGTATTACTTCTCAAAAGACAACTAGTTAAAAATGACCACATCGGTCTATTTCAGAAAAATGGCAGGAATTATTACTGAAAATGTGATCTCATTATATAAATTGGGGCACGTCTTCAGCTTACTGATTCAGCTCATTTCTGTCACCACCATCACAAAAACATTGCATTGGAAATAAACCAGAACAAAGGAAAGAGTCAGGTCTTTGCTGTATTTCCCCATAAAATGAAAATGAATTATTTGTCCTGCATTTGTTATCGGCATTTCACCTAAGGGACAATATACCCTTAATGGTCAGAGTTCTGTTGTTTTAGAGCAATGACCAGTCCCTCAGAACAACATTTTGGATAAAGGTTATACTGTCCTCTCACAAAATGTAAGTGGAAACGTACTGTGGGTTTATTTCATATTCTGCTGCACATTCTACCCATTAATTTGTGATTAAGCCAGCACTGCTCTGGGAACCCTGCTTCCTTGCAATGCAATTCCAGGCATATTTCAAAGGGGGATTGGCTCCTACTCCTGTGAGCAAGTCAGAAAACATTGTCCCCAAAAAGGCAGATACACGAGGCCGCCGAGTCGGTGCTGTTGAAGTCACCTCAGCCTGGGCCTGCGGCTGAGCTCACTGGGAGGACACCGGACCTGAGCTAAACTGCTGCCTCTACCTCAGGTAGACTAGTCCGCCAGCCCAAGCTTGATGGCACAGGGTAGACTTTCCTTGCAGCAAGGAGCAGAAGAGATGGTTGATTTAGCCACCGCTTCTTGGATTGTGGAAAAATCACTGAGGTTTCATGTTTGTTTATAGGCTTAGAAAACAGTTAATTCTCAGCTAATGAGACTTGAGGCATGTGGTGCTCTGTCAACACAGCAACCTTCAAATTACTATTTTGTTTGTAATACCGTCCTGTACATTTTTTACAGTAAATCAAGTGGTATTTTGTCTCAGCTAGGCATTGGACATCCAGGTGCTTTAATACACTCAGACAAGCACCTCAGGCTGCAGGCTCCATCAGGGGTATTTCTACTAAGTACATGCACACCAGCAGGAGTGGGGCACACAACTGTGGGACCAGGGCCGTCTCACTGCATTACTACACCATCTAAGTGGGGCTCTGGGCACTCCACATAGCTAGTCTGAAGCAAAAGCATAGCTCAAAACCAAACGCGATCTGTACTTGTTTAGGGAGAACTATATAAATCTGATCACCTGAAATGATTATCACTTTAGCATGTGCAGTATAAACAAAGCAAATGAACTAATGGCAGAATATATTTAGGCACATTCCATATAGATGTATGCAAAGGGCTTCCATACAATTATTCATCTCTGTAAAGAAATTAAGAGACTAACAAATAATGAAACATTACATTTTATGTAACTAATTACTGCAACCTCTTTATTTATGCTGCCACTAGATGAACAAGCTCCTTAGAAGTTCTTTTCATAGAGCGATACAGATTTCTGTCAAAGATCCCCTTCTCCTGAAAAATCATGTTTTTTCCTGTTTTGTTTGAGACTGTCAAATCTACAGGTCTGATGGCCATCCTATTCCCAGCATCAGAAAAGGCCTGCAGGGTCCTGCAGAGCAGCGGGCTGAGCAGCCAGCAGCAGTCAGCAGTGTACCCTTGCGCTGAGGCCGGCTGACTGCACGCCAGGCGGTCTTTGCCAATGCATAGCTGGCAGCTTGAGGGAGGTGTAATGCTGGTGGGATCGCATCTCAAGTCTGTGCCCAGTGTGGCACTCCCCAGCATGAGACACACATGGACATTGACAGAGTTAGTGAGGTTGGAGTGTGATGTACCCATTTTCAGCCTTGGAGATGTCCAAGTCTTTTGGACAACTGGAGACGCCAACCACACAAGCGCTATCTGAACAAAACAGCAGAGCTGTTCTGTGCTTCTGGAAATGTACACAAATTAAGACAACACATTCCTTCAAGACATTGTAAGGTCACAGTTTTGAATGATTAAGAACTTTCTCATAGTCTTACCTCACTAAGAGCCTTAGCCCAAAAGTTTAGAAGCATATCAAGCAAATGGAGAGCAAGAATAGTAATCAAAGATTGAATACCAAAGGGTATTACAAGTCTTTAATTTCCTGCATTTAAAACGCATTTATAACTTTGGACATCACTTTTAACTCATCTAGGCTTTACGTTTTCAGAGGCGGAAAAAATAAATAGTACATACCCTACAAAACAAAGTCCTTCTGTCACCTTTTCTCTTTAGAAGTTCTGAGTTTTCACTGTGCCCTTACGCTCAGCAAGTCACCTTGAGCCTTACCTGAATGAGCACTTTCCTGAAGTGCTGTGAGAGCAAGTGGACCTGTCATAAAGAAACCAAAATCACCAGGCTCCAGAGTGAATGCCACAGGTTGTCCCTCTCCAGATCTGAGCAGTGTCTCAGATAGGACCAAACAGTTTAAATTCAATATTAATAATCACAGAGAGAAAAGAGGCAGAACCAGGGAGGATAATGAAAAATTGATGTAATACATTCTACTGCCTGACATCACTGAAATCGCGAACCAGTTGTAACTACCAAGTATTCTTAAAGTAGGGACCTGTGTAATTATTCCAGTAATCGCTGTCTTTCAGGCCACAAAGATCCATGCGCCTTCAAGACATACAGGCTTTACATCCAAAAGGCAAAATGGAATTTATCAAGCTTATTGCAACTCCTGTTCTCAATTGGCATCAAACTACATCACACGTAAACTGACCTGGTGCAACCTGCCAGATGTTGGGTAGCCTTTCCATGGTTGACTCTTTCTCATGTCTTAGTCCTGGTCCTTCTCAGGCACTTATTAGCGGAGCAATTTGCATGAGTGCCTTGCATCATGCTTTAAGTCAGTTAGAAATGTTCCAGCCAGAGCTCTGTTCTGAGTTTCTCTCATTAAAAACTTCCCCTGGCTTCATAAACATAGGGTTTTTTTTTAGTGTGATGTGGAGCTTAACATTCATAAAGCCGACTTCTGGGATAGACATGTCTTGCTCCAGCTCCAGTCAGATGCCTCTGAAATTGGAAACAGTGTTCTCTCCAAGGTCAGCTCCTCATTAGTAAAGGAAAACATTTTTAAGTGTTGGTTTAAGCAATTTGATAGCGGATCCAAAGGCAGACTGCATTTCAGGATTACTCAAGGAAACAGAGGAAATGAACCATGTAAATTCTTTGTCAACCAGTTTTCTACACTCTTCAAATCTATTTTAAGGTTTAACATCTGCATGAAGGCCTTAACTTAGTTATATTTCTTCAGACCTTCTGCGGAAGTATCTTAATTTTGGTACAGATCCAGAAACCAATCCTAGCTTCAACTGGAAAGCAAATTTGAAATCCTAATTCCTTGTTTCTTTTTGGAGAAAACAGTGTCTAAAAGGACAGCTCTGAGGAGTCCAAAAGAGCTTGGACACAGCTGGCATACAGTCAGCTACAGCTTCCTTCTCCACAGGATTTGATTATATTTTTGAATTCTGCCTGGCACAAGTCTATTTTTAAAGTTGTTTGCATTTTTTAAAAACTTTTTTTTTTATGTTTTACTTTTTTTTATTGGCTAGGCAGCCCCTTAGAGATTTTCCACAAAATACCTGACCCCTCTTGGTCAGATGTTCTAATGAATGGAAGGAAAACAGCTTGCTCAGCTGAAGCACCATAATTAGCATATACTGTGATAACTCTCAGTCCTTCTCTAACCAGCTGGCATCACAGCATGATTTCCTTGGGATTTTTTTTTTTACTTTTAAGCAGAAGTGTAATATTACCGAGAATCACCAGATGGCATTGCCGCAGATAACTTTGATATTCCTGTTTACCTGACTGTACAGTGGTTAGACATTGCGAAAATACTTATTGCAATCTAGCGCAGAGTTTTCTGCTGATGTTGCTGCTCCAGCTCCATTACAGAAGTGTCATTGTCAAATTAAACATGTCTAATCTCAATTACATATTTGCATCCACATGTCATAAGATTTGTTTGCAGCAAAGGAACGTGCACGGCTGCACAGGCTTAGAAACACAGACAGAAGAAATGTGGGTGAAAGATGTTCTTTCAACTGCTTTTTAATTTCTTTGCTTCTTAATTACTGTATTCTTTACGCTCATTGAAATGATTTACAGACTTTTAAAATCGTTAAAAGGCTACCAATTTAGTGACTGAATCTGTTGGCTGAAGAGTTTCAGCTACAATGGTTGCATCTGCAAATAACCTGGGATCAAATTATGTAATAACTCACACCTCATTAAACTCCTCCGAAGAAACCAAATGACATGGGTGGTAATTTTTAGTGCAGGCTATGGTGTATAACATATGCCTGCACGACAGAGCTGCTGTAGCTCCCAGCTCGCACAGCCCCGCTCCCGGGAACGGCCCCCGGCTGGTCTGGGCTGCAGCTGCCTGCACGGGTCTGACCGATGCTGAGCCAGCAAATATGTGGGTGAGAGGACTTTTTCACCTGCTTAACTTTCAAGGCATGCTGAAGTCATGATGTGGCACTTATTTCCCAAATGTCTCTATTTCCATATAAAGTGGTAAGATCATATTTTCTCTTCTTCATTTCAAAATCTTTCATTTAAAAACAAGGATAAAAATTCATTTCACACACCAGACTGCCTCAAGAACAAAGTACTCACCTCCCAGATACATGCAGAAACTTCACTGTGGTGAGGCTGGAATTTTTTTCCCCACTCACAGTACAACATTTCATCCCGTTGCTGACAACAGGTTTGTGCCTGCGGCCCCGTTTTCACACTTGAGCTCGGTTTCAGCCCGATGCAGTCACCCCGCAGCATTGCTGTGATAGCACTAAGACCAGTGCAGGCTGCAGAGGCCACCAGTGGGGCAGTCACCTGTAGCTGAGCTCTGTGTCACAGCCAGCGCATTAGCACTGGATTTAGAATTTAAATTGAAAACACCTCCAGGAACTGAACAGCTACGTCAGCAGAGGTGTATTCCTAATTACAGAACTATAACTCCAACACTATATGGCAAAAGGAAATTAAAACCTGAGGCTGCAACCACCGTAGCATAGGCTAACAGGCAAAGGTAAGTGTGATTTTTGTCCATAGTGCTTGCTTAATATTTTTATCCAGATGTCCTGGAAAGCTGAGGGTCATTGCTCTGGAGGAATAATTTTGAATCCAGTGGACAGGCAGTTCTCTTGTCTTTCCCATCCTCACAAAGCTGGCACGTTCCTGGGCTTCCAGCAATCAAAGAAATTCCCAATATCAGTGTATGATCCCAGCTTTGTGCATTAGAGAATGAAAAGTGAGGTCTACGCGGGAGTTGCTAATGTTGATGAAAGGAACCTTGTTTGGTTGAACAGGCAGAGGTGTTTTTGAGGCAGTAGGACAGCTCTCTCATTTGGGGATGTTAAATCTGTAGTTTAGATCATAACTGCCCTTATGTCTCCCACAAAAGCATTTGAAACATCACCTCAGTGGAGATAAGACTGAGATACCCTTCTCCTTTCTTCACATCTGCCTAGCTGTTGTGCCAGTTCCCATTTAATTGAAGCAGATATTAATAGACACCCTCAACAACATCTTTCATGTTATTTCTCTTCTGTGAGCCAGCCACAGGCAACAGCAAGGGAGTCAATACAGATGCTTTTGGATGGAATTAATTAATCTCTAATCCCCATTAAAAGGATAGTGGTATGTAAGTCAGGTAGTGAAAGGACAAGTTGTCTGAAATGCTACCAGTGCAAGGGATGGGCCCTTGGGAGCCCAAGAATTAAAAACTGAGAAAGATAACTCAGTAAAATTCCCACTGCAGAAAATGAATAACTACAACAGCCTTTAAATGCTTCTATAGATGTCCAAAGAGAAGGCTGCAAATCATTCCTCTCTGCATTTTAAGGGCCTGACTACAGAAGCAGTAACCCAAGACAGACCCGCTGGATTACATTTTTCAATAACATAGCTTTGTTCGTATGATTTTTTAATAAAGCCAGCTACCCAGAGAAGAGACCAAGCCTCTGTTTGTGGTTGTACTACAAAAAAGAAGCATAAACAAGAGACAGTTTACAATAATTATTTTCCTCTTTCGGGTTTTCCAGTGGTTTTGGCTGATACATACGGCCAACCTTCTCCATGCATACACCATCATCCCCAAACACAGGCACCATTTTTCTAAGTGACAGAAACAACCTCTTATATAAAGATAATTGAAAAATAGTTATTCTCTTCTGGGTTAATGATTACAGTTATTTATATAAAGGAAAAGTGTTAACAAAGCCATTCTCAAAGAACTGAAAAACCCTTCTGGGATACCCAAGGTGATCTAATAAAGGCAAATCACACTGAAAAATCCCATCCTTCAGATTTTGCCCCAGAATATATTTGACACAAGCTAATACTGTACAAAGAAGTAACATATTCCTTACGTAAATCCAGTCTTTGTGGTGTGGTGCAAACCCTGCGTGCATGCAAGAACTACTTTTACAGCAGGAATGCTGTCCCGTGAATACTATTTCTTAAGGGTTAGTGATTTAGATGAGAACTGCTCTGCAGCATTTGCTAAAAACGCTTTGATGTTTGTGATGTACTACCAACGAATTGCCAACAGTACTTAAACTTGTTACTTTTAGAAAAATCATGAATTAAGCCAAACATTTTTGGTAAAAGGATTGAAAGTGTCCTTTGATGACATAAACCAATTGACAAGTGGCTTTAAAAAACACTGAAGTGAGAGATAAGGAACTTACAAGGTATAAACAACTGCACCTGTGAGATAACATACAGAAAGGTAAAAGTTTAAAGCACAGAGAACAGAAAGAACAGGGAAAAGTCATAGTAGGTACAGTGAAATACTTATAATAGGCAATATTAGTCATGAATATGAATAGCACATGAATAGTAAATGAAGCTTGTGTAAAGCAGTCAAACGGATGCAGAGAAGTCAAAAGAAAGAGGGCTTCTCATCATCCCACAGGGCAGAGCACACACACGTAATGGTTTCTGCCTCTTGATTTCCTGAATGAGGGAGACAAATTTGGATTTTCGTTTCTGACTTGCTTTTTCTTCCCCTTAAGCACTAATTTTGGTGACAGAATATAGAATTCATCGTGGTTATTTCCAAAAGAAAAGTAACCTCAAACATTAAAAGGAAGGTTTGTAAGTCTCACATTTGGACCAAAACTGCTTCCTCTTGCAAGGCTTGAATAGTTTCAACTGCAGAAGGAATAACAGCAGGGTGCGAAGGTGCACATTTTGACCTGCGGACCTCTTCTTCCCTTCTTCATTCCTGCCTCTGAGATACAGCCTAGAGAGCTGTGACAGTCTCTCTGAGCCATTAAGCAACACATCCAATAATTTTTAACTTTTAGAAAAGACAAAGATCACCTCATTTTTGTAGAAAAATTCAGCAGAGGGACCTTCTGCTGGTAAGAGCCAGCAGAGCTGCTAACCTGGAGCTTTGCCATATTGTGATTGCTGTTTTGGGGAGGAGAGCAAGTGGAGATATGACCTTGGACTTCCCTTCTATGTGCTTGTAGCCCAGAATAAATTAGCTTGGATGGAGAAGGCACCACAACTGCATCAGCCTTGATCTGTGGTAGTTTTAGGCTGATTAGCCTGTGCAGCTCCCTGGGTGAAACACAGACTTTCTTATGGGCTTGGTGTCTGTAAGAAGAGCTCATCATTGATCTGATGGACCTGCACAGAAATGTACCTTCCCTTTCCGCCACCCCTCTGGATTTCCCTTTTTGTTACTCACCAGTACTGCTCTGGATGGTCCTCACTGTGGTGGTTGTACGTGGGGGAGATGAGGACCGCAGCGATATGCACTCGTCGTCTTGGGAGCAGCCCTTCTCAATGGCTCTGACGTAGCTGTGGCTCCTCATGCGGAAGCAGCCCGGCATGGGCAGATCCAGGGCCTCCACTGCCTGAGACTCGAGTTCACTGAACACTGACTCGCAGACGGATTCGAACTGACCATTCACTTCCATCTCACTCACCTGCAGGCAAAGACCGAGCAGGTTGGGTACATCCTATACACCAGCCTACCTGGCACAAACACTCACAAGCTACAGTGGCACGATGGCCAACATCTGCTAGAAGATCCTTTCATGCATGAAGAACAGGTGAATGGCACATAAGCACATACCATTTTACAAAGTAACAATCGTTAGGGGAAAGACATAATGTACAAAAAGGGGAGATAGAGGTGTTAGGCAGAGATTTAGCAGAGTTTAGGCTCT